ACACAGCTTTCTCGGAGTTACCTTTTAATGTGCTAGTCCTGGGGCTTACACTCAGGGCCTGAGCACATTCCCTGAGCTTTTGTGCTCAAGGCTAGTGCTCTACCTCTTGAGCTATAGCTCTACTTCTGGCTTTATGGTGGTTAATTGGAGATAAGAGTTTCAAGGTCATTCCCACCCAGGTTGGCCCCATACCATGATCCTCCATTCTAAGCCTCTTGAGCAGTTTGGATAATAGATGTGAGCCATCAGCACCTGGCCTTTTGGAATGGATTTTAAGGAAGTTTTTCAAGTCCTCAACTGGGAAGTTATATTAGGCTCTTGGCTTACAGACTAATTCTAATTATTTTCTGAACAAATGATGTAACTTGGCTTTCCAAAATAAAAGCCTGGGAAGTGGCACTATGGTGACAGAGCACTAGCCTGGAGTAAGAAGGCTCAGGGACAGCGTCCAGGCTCTGAATTCAAGTCCCAAAAGCAACTAAAAACAAACAAACAAAAAAAGGCAAAAATAAAAGCCTAGCTAAAGAGTAGATTTCAGTTCAAGATTAGGCAAAATATAGAGTCTGGTATTTACAAAAAATTACTTTTGAATGAAAAAGAAAGCAAACATCATTCTCCAACAAAAACCCAAGCAGAGCCCAAAAGAAATACAAATGATTGTTTCCATGTCATAATAAATAGTAGTCAAAATTCAATTTTAATAAAAGACATTTTCATGAAAAATTTAATTCAAAAGTAAACAGAGAAAAATATGTTCACCTCTCATTCCCTGCCCCTTGCAGTATAGCTTTTAGTTCAACCAGATGGACTGCATTCTTGCTATAATACACAGCAAGACAAATATACTTTATACTGATGAGCTGGATTGCTTCTGAGTAGCACTGTTCTTAAGGTTAGGTTAGCTGACTAGTTTCTATCAAGTAACAGTAAGGACAACTCACCTTTATGCCTTTTCTATGCCATACATTATTCTTAATACATATGAATTATTTTATTAAATTTCTTGACCCTTAGAAACACTGTATGGCAGTGCTCTAAGAGAGGTATTACTGGCCCGTTTTATAGATGACACAGAACAGAGGAATAACTAAACTCTTTAAGATCACAGAGTAAGTGGCAGAGATATGCTGGGAACCTCGAACTCTAGAATTCATACTCTCAACCTCTATTGTTTCCTCACACATATATGAGAAACCCTACCAGCCAAAAATCATATTTGGCATATAGAGCCAATGTTTATATGGTAACTCCATCTAACGAGAGATATAAAATCGCTTTTGCAAGGACAGGACCGAATTCTTTTTTTTTTTCCCAGTTAACTTTATTTCCTATTAAGTGGTAAGAACACTAGGTGTCAAGTACTTTTACAATCCTTGAGTTGACTGAGGAAGGTACCAGACCTACACTTATGCCTATAAAGTAGAACTTCGGGAACTAGAAACTTGTATGACCAAATAACAATTCTACCACACCTTACGTATGTTGATATTTAAAGTGTAGCTATCATTTTGAATAACAAAAAAATTGTGCTATGGAATTTGTGGGCAACGTGACTCATTGGTAGAGTGTTTGCCTAGCATTTGTGAGAAACTAAGTTCTATCCACAGCCTTTTTTTTTGGGTCCGGTCATGGGGCCTGAACTCTGGGCCTGGGCACTGTCCCTCAGCTCTTCAGCTCAAGGCTAGCGCTCTACCACTTGAGCCACAGCGCCACTTCCGGCTTTTTTCTTTTTGCTTATGTGGTGCTGAGGAATCGAACCCAGGGCCTCAGGCATGCAAGGCAAGCGCTCTACCACTGAGCCACCTTCCCAGCCCCTATCTATGCCTTCTTTTTGTGAGAAAACAAATCCAATAATTTAGATATGTTCTCCTTTCTCTCTTAGTTTTTATGAGGGGCAGAATAGTAGCATTTACTCCACATTCCTGATAACTTATTTCCCTGAAACAACTCAATACATTCTTAAAAGTCTTCTACTGTTGCTATAAAGGTGATGTACAGAAGGATTACATTTCATAAGTCAGGTGAGTATATTTTTTTGTACAGTGTCATCCTGTCATCCCTCCCCTCCTTCCCATATTTACTCACAAGTTATATAGTTCACTTTCTTTCTTTCTTTTTTGGTCCGGTTGTGGGGCCTGGGCACTGTCCCTCAGCTCTTCAGCTCAAGGCTAGCGCTCTACAACTTGAGTCACAGCACCACTTCTGGCTTTTTTCTTTTTGCTTATGTGGTGCTGAGCAATCGAACCCAGGGTCTCAGGCATGCAAGGCAAGCACTTTACCACTGAGCCACCTTCCCAGCCCCAATAGTTCACTTTCTTGATATATATATATTTTTTAATTTTTTTGGGGGGGTCAGTCGTGGGGCTTGAACTCTGGGCCTGGGCACTGTCCCTCAGCTCTTCAGCTCAAGGCGAGCACTCTACCACTTGAGCCACAGTGCCACTTCCGGTTTTCTAGTGGTTTCCTGGTTATGAGTCTCACGGACTTTCCTGCCCCTTTGAACTGTGATCCTCAGATCTCAGCCTCCCGAGTAGCTAGGATGACAGGCTTGAGCCACCAGTGCCTGGCACTTGATGCTTTTTTAAAAAAATTTAAGTCTATAGCTATTTCACTTTATTACTTCAAGTTTTAGATTATGTCCAAGTGATCTGGGACACCGGTTGGATATAACACATTATAACAAATAAACATAATTATAAACTTTCAGACAAACTAAAACTTGTAAGAAAAGTAACTGTGAAAGTTTAGAATAGCTAAACTGTCATAACCTATCAACTTAACACCATACCAATATTCAGTTACTCTATAAACGGAAGCTTTTCTGTTTATGCCTACCAAATACTAACTTGAAAACAGTTTAAGAATTAAAATATAGGAACCAGGAATAGTCCATTTATAAAAATGTCAAGAACTATTTTTACTTAGTCTAACTCACAAATTACCTGAACTTATTACATTAGGCAATTTTAGAAGCCTTTTATTCACACTATCCTGCTTTTGTTTTTATAGTGCTAGCATTGCTGGCATGTACCACATCCTACCCCTTTTGTTTTATGGAAGGCTCCCACAGGTTGTATAGCCTTATTAGTTTCTCGGGTATCTTATGAAATTAGGAATCTTAAAGATCTGTGCTAGTCTTAGTAATCCTTCTCCTCTCACTCTTTCTTAATGTATTCTGTCAGGAAGCAGGGCTTACAAGGCTTCATAGACTCAATCAAATCAGTGCTGGAAAGCTTTCCAGCTTAGCCCACATTTAGGAACATACAGGTCAGATAGTAAAATTCCAAAGACACACACTTTTTGTATGAATTCTCTTGTAACTTCCTGTTCCTGGCTACAAGATTTATGACCAGAATTTTCCAGACTTTAATTTTCAAAACCATAATCCATGATTAGAATAGCTAAATAGCCAGGAGTTATTAGCACATCATTTTAAAAGATGCTAGAGAGAGCATGCACTTATACAACAACGTATACTTGCCTTTTGAAATCCTTAGTATTATCAGTATCCTTATCTTTTTCTTTTCCTTCTTTTTTTTGCCAGAGCTTGAACTCTCATTCAGCCTTTTCTGCTTATTACTGACACTCTACGACTTGAGCCAAAACCTCAGTCTCCCATTTTGCTGGTTAACTGGAGATAGAGTCCTGAGAATTTTTCTGCCCAGGCTGGTTTTGAATCTCAGTCCTTATATCTCAGCTTCTTGTATAGCTAGGATTACAGCCGGCATTCCTCTGGTCTTTCTCTGAATACAGATCAAAATCAGTGTACAGCCTGAGGCTATTTCCCTGAAACCCTATTAGACTCCTGAAAATACTATATTTAGGACCATCTAAAAAATCTTTTCCTAGAAGCTCATTAAATATAAACAGTTCACAGCTAGTTGTTATTCTACAATGGTTATCTTGGTTTTCCTTCAATTCCATCAGTCACTTTGGACAGGTCACAGTGAGATATATTTGCAAAGGCAAGTGCAGAAAAAAACACAGTTTAAATTATATCAGTGGACATACAACAATCAAACCATAAAATTGACTGAGTTAATCTCGTATGCATGGTATATCTTTTGGTAATATGGATTTTAACTGAAATATTCCAGGGGAATTCTAAAATAAAGTTTAGTTGTTTTAGAAGTGGAAACATATATGTAGTGGGAATATACAGTGTATAATTTATTAAATCCAAAAGGATATGGACACTTGTGGAAGTAAATTTATTGAAAAACTCTGTAAAAATCATCACATCCAAATCTAAATTTGAACAACTATTTCTAAAATACGACAGAAATAGTTATTAGAGTAGTTATTAGAGTTAAATAACTTATTACTCTACCCAAGATGCTGACTGCATCTCTAGTTCTTAGAGTGAATGATGGAATGTAAGAGGATAACAATGCATTTCCTTCAGAATAACCTTAAACCATTCCTATAATCTCTATTCAAGAACTATTTGTCAAAAGATAAACAATCACTACACTCAATTATTTTAACCAAACAAGAGTTTGCTCTAAATTAGAATCATACTGGAAGTTATTGCTATTAGTGAGCCTAACTAGAGCCTCATGGACATGTGCATTCTAATACACTTTATGATATATGCTTCTTCCTCCATATGGTAAAATGTCCTATTTTCATACAATTATCAAATTAAAAATAAATTTTATTTGAATAGTAAAGTTAGGTTCCAATTATAACATTGCCTAAATTTTTAAAAGGTAAACAAAAGGAACCACAAAATAGCAAAGGTCAAATAGTATTGAAAACACTATACTGCTCACTGAGAAAATGTCTTTAAAAAGTATCATGCTCTGGAATACCATATTGATATTATTGTTTCCAGGACCTGACGTTAAATATTGTCTTATAGAGATGACATAAAACTTCAGATGAATAAATGAAAAAGGTTATAAAAATATGTATTATTGTTCCTTTTTTGTTTTTAAAGCTTAAATTGAAGTCTGTCATTCTGCTAGAGGAACTGTGTTTATTTTTCTCTCTTTCAGAGGCTATGTGGCCCCTTCCACTTGTTCTGTGTCCGGCCTGGTTATTTCTTGATGTTCTCTTTTCAACTGCATCCATCATGCACCTCTGCGCCATTTCAGTGGATCGTTATATCGCCATCAAAAAGCCAATCCAGGCCAATCAATATAACTCCCGAGCTACTGCATTCATCAAGATTACAGTGGTGTGGTTAATTTCAATAGGTATGTGGGGAATGCCAGGCTGTGGGTAGAGTGCATAGCCTTTAGTTCCTTTTGACTAGGAGACTGCCAGTTATGGTAGTGCAGGAAACTCTTCAGAATGAAATAGTAAGACTAATATACTAGTACGATGTCACAGAAAGCTTCTACACCATTCTATCAGTAATAACTGAAAAGAAATAATAAGGTTAAGTCCTTAGAACCAACTTCAGTGTTTATTATACTATCATCCCACTTTAATTTTGATATGCAAAAAAGCTAAGAGAAAAAAGTCATCATATTTATCAATAGAAAATTAAGGCCTAGCTAGCTTGATGAGTCCCATAGTTACATGAACATAACAAAAAGAGATGTATCTTCATCTGTGCTAAAAAAATAAATAAAAAGGAAAAGACAAAGAAAAAAAAGCACCCAATAAACCAAAACATTTTGTAAGTATTTCTCAAAGATCATAAATTTGCCTAGGAAGCCAATTTTCCTATTATTAATATATACATATTAAATAAAAGCTGTCAAAAGTCTTAAATGTTCAAATGTTTAGATGCAGAGAATGTATTAAACTGATGTTCAGAAATGACTTATAGAAATAAATTACCATTCTTCCAAATTGTTTTATTCCCTATTCTCATTTTAATCCTCAAAGATAGTAGCTATCAATCACACCTTTACATAAAGTATAGTTTACATTGCTCAAAGCTCTTACAAGTTAATGTCAGAAAGTCAAATTACTTATCAATACAACAAATACAATGATCTGATTGCAAATTCACATCTTCCTAGTTTAAAAAAATGAAGGGGAAAAAAATTAAGAAATTTAAAATGTTAAAGGAAAGATAGTATTTCTCCAAAATCAGAGTAAGAACATGGTAAAAAAAAAAAATAGCAAGAAAACACAGAAATTCACCTTTATGTTCCTAAAATGCTACTAACAGCCAAACTTCTTTTGAAAAATTCGGAGGTAAAAGCAAGGAATGCTGCTACTTTTCATGAGAAAAAAAAAAAAAAAACTAGGGTTAAGAAAAAGTCTTTTCAGAATGAAGAGGTTCATAGCATTGAAAGACCAGTTTAACAGGCAGAGGCTAACTGATAGTACCAAACAGTACCTTCCTCACCCCAAGACACAATGAAGATGGGAGATAATGGAGATAATCAAATTTGAAGTAGATGAAGAAAATCTAGTCATTCACTCCAAATGACTGCTCTGCCTAGTTCCTATTAGGCAAGCTCAGTACCAGCTATGGTATAGGCTCAGCTCACACAAATCCATTTCATTTGTAAGTAAGAATAAAGAAATGCTAAAGAGTAACTCAAATGGATGAGACCCTGAGTTCAGCCCCTGAACCACTAATAAAAGAAAAAAGGAATCTAGAGGTCACAAGTAATTGGCATAAGGACTCATATAGCTTTTTTGCACCAAAGCAAAGGGCAATGACATTTTTTTACTTTATCATTTTATTTTGTAGAACCAATCACAATTTAGTACTTTTGAAAAGCAAAATGCAGATGACAGTTCTGTGAAGTATGAAGGAGAGTTTTTACTTACTTTCTTTTTGAATTTAGTTAGTTATTCTAGCACTGTGCTTTAACATCCCTCCCAAACTTCATGTGTTGGAAGCTTAAGCAACAAGGTTGAGAGGTGGGACTTAGAGGCGATGAGGTCATGAGGGCTGTGCGCTAATGGGTTAAAGTTGTCACTGATGGAGTGGGTTCATCCTTATAAACGAAGAATTAAGATACGGCCCCTGGATCTTGGACTTCCTAGCCTTCATAACCATAAGCCAATTGAATTAGTTCATTATTAACTACCCACGTGATAACTGTGTTATAGCAGCATACAATGGGTTAAAACACCTAGATAATACTTCGATCATAGTTAAATATATGTTTTAAAAGCAGAGATTAAGGCTGAAAGTAACAGTGAAAACTCAAAACTTACTACAAACAAAGTAGATAGCCTTAATAAGTATGTCCTTAGAGCCCAGTACCGTGGCTCATGCCTGTAATCCTAGCTACTCAGGAGGCTGAGATCTGAGGATCGCAGTTCAAAGCCAGCTGGGGCAGGAAACTCTGTGAGATTCTTATCTCCAATAAACCACTTGGAAAACCCGAAGTGTCTCAGTGGCTCAAGTGGTAGAGCACTAGCCTTGAGCTGAAGAGCTGATAGACAGTGCCCAGGCCCAGAGTTCAAGGCCCATGACTGACAAAAATAAATAAATAAATAAATAAATAGGTTAATTAATAACATCCTTAGATTATGAAAACAAAGGACAGATAGACCAATGGTCAGTTAAAGAGAACACTCCATCACTGCAGTGTAACAAGACAAAAAGGGAAAGATCAGAGTCCATGCCTTCTGATACAGGATCATATCTAGTGGATTGAGTTAGGTGGTTCAAGAATGCAAATAATAGGGCTGGGAAGGTGGCTCAGTGGTAGAGTGCTTGCCTTGCATGCATGAGGCCTTTCAATTCCTCAACACCACATAAACAGAAAAGCCAGAAATGGTGCTGTGATTCAAGTGGTAGAGGGCTAGCCTTGAGCTGAAGAGTTGAGGGAGGGACAGCGCCCAGGCCCAGAGTTCAAGCCCCAGAACCGACCAAAAAAAAAAGCAAATAATAGCTGGATGCTGGTGGCTCACACCTGTAATTCTAGCTACTCAGGAGGCTGAGATATGAGGATTGTGGTTTGAAGCCAGGCCAGGCAGAGAAGTCCCCATGAGACTTTTAATCTCCAATTAACCACTCAAAAAACTGAAGTAGAACTGTGGCTCAAAGTCGTAGAGCATCAGCTTGAGCTAAAGAGCTGAGGGACAGTGCCAAGGCCAAGTTCAAGTCCCCCAACTGACAAAAAAAAAAGCAAATAATAATCAGAGGACAAAATACTGAAGAGTCCGGAAGATCATCAATGGGATGAAGTCATGAAGGCGAAGGCAGTGGCACTGCCAAGTACTGCGGGAGGCAGAATAGTAGAATGGTGACGTGGAAATCACAGGGTAGAGTAGGGATCAGTAAACTTTTTATATAAAGGGCAAGAAAGCAAGTACTTTAGGCTTGCAGAGTCTATGGTTTCTATCACAGCTACCCAACTCTGCTGTAGAACAAAAGCACTCATACAAATAGATGATTAAAAAAAAATCTCTGTGGCTATGTTCCAGGAAAGCTTTCACAAAAACACAGTGTGAACAGTATTTGGCCTTTAAGCTGTAGCATGCTGCCAAGTATACAGAATATTCTTTCTGGTGGTAAAGATGAGAAAGTAAAAGAGTAATGGCATACACTTTAAATAGTTTGAGGAAAATGCTTTTGTCAAGGGCACTTGAGCCACCATACACAGGCTCTGCAGACAATGAAGAACTTTTGTACTCATAAACCAACACAAAAAAAAGATCAGTTAAGATGTTTTTAATGATATCTGCTATTTTAAAGGTGAAATATTCAATATAATTCTTGTCATTAATTTTTCGAATAAGCAACTTGACTAACATATTTACCTACATCACAATAAAGTATTATAAATTGACATTTAACTCCTATTAAAGGACTTCTAATCTTAGAAATAATTTGTACAATTCATATACTCTCAAATTACTAAGTAGCATTTAATAAAAATGAAGTTGGGTGCCAATGGCTCACACCTGTAATTCTAACTACTAAGGAGGCTGAGATCTGAGGATCATGGTTCAAAGCCAGCCCAGGAAAGAAAGTCCGTGAAACTCTTTTTTTGGGGGGGTCTGCTTGTGGGGCCTGAACTCTGGGCCTGGGTGCTGATCCTCACCTCTTCAGCTCAAGGCGAGCGCTCTACCACTTGAGGCACAGCACCATTTTCGGCTTTTTTTCTTTTTGCTTATATGGTGCTGAGGAATCGAACCCAAGGCCTCATGCATGCAAGGCAAGCGCTCTACCGCTGAGCCAACTTCCCAGCCCCTGTGAAACTCTAATCTCCAATAAATCATCAGAAGTAGAGCACTAACCTTGAGCTGAAGAGCCGAGGGACAGCGCCCAGCTGTAAATAAAAATGAGTGCTTTATAGATTAGGGATATGGCTCAACAGCAGAATGCTTACCTCACATGCACAACAGAGTTGCAGGATGGGTTTGGTCCATTCCCCTTCCCTAAAGGTTATTTTTTTCCTAAAAAAGTCAGAAGGTTGCCTGCCCGTGGCTCACACCTGTAATCCTAACTATTCAAGAGTCTGAGATCTGAGGATGGCAGTTCAAAATCAGCCCACATAGGAAAGTCCATGACATTTATTCCAATTAAATCACCAGAAAACTGGAAGTAGTGCTGCAGCTCAAAGTGGTAAGAATGGTAACCTTGAGTAAAAAAGCTCAGGGACAGCACCAGCCCTGAGTGTAAGCCCCACGACCAACTCCCCACCCCCGGAAAAAAAAAAATCAGAAGGAAAAGATTAAAAGACATTCACAAACGAAACTGCATCTCAAAGATAATAAATCAGATTGTTTTAGAACAGACAAAGATACCCTTCTCTCACTGACATATACCTTTAGAGAAACATCCACTGTAAACTTGAAATCACTAACCAATCTCTGTTTAAAAAACAGCAGATTTTGCTCACCTAGGTTCTCTTTGCCAAAGGCTCCACTGATCAATGTCTCCACAGACTCGATGCTGTGGGTCTCAGGAATTACAACTATTAGTCAGTATAAAGTTATCAGGTCTGGAAGTGGTGCTGTGGTTCAAGCGGTAAACTTGAGCTGGAGAGCGCAGGGGACAGCACCCAAGCCCAGAGTTCAAGCCCCACGACCAACCAAAAAAAAAGGTCCAGGTAAAAATCTGAACAAAAGTAGAGGTTATAATAATGACACTACCTTGTTTCCTCTTCCTTAGGCATTGCTATTCCAGTACCTATTAAAGGACTAGAAACTGATATTCTGAACCCCAACAACATCACCTGTGAACTGACCAAGGAACGTTTTGGAAATTTCATGCTCTTTGGCTCTCTGGCTGCCTTCTTTACACCTCTCACCATCATGATTATCACCTACTTTCTCACTATCCAGGCCTTACAGAAGAAAGCCTATGTGGCCAAAAGCAAGCCACCTCAATGTCTAACATGGCTGAATGTGTCCACTGTTTTCCAAACGGAGGAAACACCTTGCTCATCACCTGAAAAGGTAGCAATGATAGATTGTTCTCGAAAAGACAAAACTCTGCCCAACTCAAGTGATGAAACACTTATGCGAAGAATGTCTTCTGTTGGAAGAAAGTCAGCACAAACAATTTCCAATGAACAGAGAGCCTCAAAGGTCCTTGGAATTGTGTTTTTCCTCTTTTTACTTATGTGGTGCCCCTTTTTTATTACAAATATAACGTTAGCGGTGTGTGATTCCTGCAACCAGGCTACTCTCAAGAAGCTCCTGGAGATATTTGTGTGGATAGGCTATGTTTCCTCGGGGGTGAATCCTTTGGTCTACACCCTGTTTAACAAGACATTTCGGAGTGCATTTGGCCGATATATCACTTGCAATTACCGGGCCACGAAGTCAGTAAGAACTCTCAGAAAATGCTCCAGTAAGATCCACTTTCGAAATCCAAGGGGAGAGAACTCTAAATTTTTCATGAAATGTGGAATTCGAAATGGGGTTAGTCCTGCCATGTACCAGAGCCCAATGAGGCTCCGAAACTCAACCATTCAGTCTTCATCAATCATTCTACTTGATACACTTCTCCTCACTGAAAATGAAGGTGAAAAAACTGAGGAGCAAGTCAGTTATGTATAGCAGAATATGCATAATGATTAAGGTGATGAACAGGACGTAAGAATTATGTAAAGAACTGTATGCATGTCGTACATCAAATCAACTCCTTAAATGAAGAGATATGTGTTATAATTGGCCAATTTTCTTTATCTGGACAAGGCAACTCATGAAAAATATAATCTTTTGTGGTTACAAACAAAAGCAACACAAGTTTCTGTCAAAACGTTAGGGCTTTTAAATGAAATAAAATTACATTAAATCAATAATTTTCAGCCATAAAAGATGCTATAAAATTTTATGCAAAGTTGTGCTAAGAGTGAAATGAAGTCAAACAAATAAGCATTAGCCTTGTTTTCAAGGTTTCAAAAACCTTGTAAGACAGGTGAACAATGTACAGCGTTGAAACTCATTTGATGCCTGATGGGACAGACACAGCACTCTTTTCATAGGCTGTTATAAGCCATCTGTTCTGATAGCTTTGTATGGCCCGAAAATTATGTTTTAAATAGCCAAATGGCCCTTGTCAGAGAAAAATGGCTCTGACCCCTGACATAAGTGACAGGAATGAGAGTGAAAACTAAATGCACACAAAATGGTCACAAGAGTGCTTGCAATGTTCCCATTTAGTCCAGTGTAGTTATAACTTCCCTTCAATCAGGAAGGGTGGAAGGGAAAGGCAGAAGAATAATCAGATGCCACACAAAGTAACAGGATGTAATGGCTAAAACCAGGTACCCTAACCACTAGAGGTAGGGGAGAGAGGTAGAAGAGGAGGAGGAAAAAAATCCCTCTTGGGTACTTAAACCACATTATGTACTTAAAAGGTACTAAGTGAATGTGCTCAAACTGGAAGTATAGGATCTCAATCTCGGAACCTAAAGAGTAAGTGGTGTCACAAACTAATCACAGCTACTTATGTTTACCCAGAGTCGGCTGAACTTCAGGCAAAAAATTTTCTCTCACAATTTCATTTTGTACTGTTAGATCTGGGAATGAGACCAACCTATGCCACTTACAGGATAGCTGATTTAATTTAGAAATGACATAGTTTGTTTTTGTGTTTTCTCAGTCTATATTTTATGCAGTTCTTATAAGGATTAGATGAATACATAGTAGGCAATCAGTAAATGGCAGCCAATTCGTGTGTGTGTGCGCACGCGCGTGCACACGCCCGCGCCAGTCCAAGGCTTACTTAAACAAAAAAGCTCACGTTTTTGGTTAAAGCTCTGCCACTTGAGCCACCCCACCACTTTTGGCTTTTTCTGAGAAGTTGATTGGAGATAAGAGTCTCACATTATCTTCAGATCTCAAGTCTCCTGAATACCTAGAATTATAGGCATGAATTACCAGTACCTGGCTCCAATCTGTACACTTTTATTTTTCTTCATCTCTAAAAGAAGTATAAGATCATCTCTAAATCTTTTCCAATTTTTACCCCTTAAAGAAATATTATTATGGAAAAGGAACTCAGAAATATCCCTTAGCAAGCCAGGCTAAAGGAAAGTCCTGAGGAAGAAAAAGGAAAAGTGGGAGAAGAGGGAAGAAAGGAAAGACCCCTAGAAGTAGTAAGCACACAAACAACTCATTGCCTCTAACTTGATCTGACTATCCTGCTATGGGCTAGGAAACTTATTAGCAAAGTCAGAAAGCAGTTCACAGGAGACATCTGCTGCTGAAACAGGGAATTTAGTTATGTATAAGCTAGGAAGACAGAAATGAATTCTGATAATCAGAAACACAACAGTATTGCCAAGCTCATCAACTTCCTATGTAGCAGGATATACCTCCCAGATGTGATATATAAAGCCACTGACAAGAGAAACAATGCATAGTTGGAAAGGAAGACAAAAATATGAGCCTGTAATCCTAGCTACTCAGGGGCTGAGATCTGTGAACCATACTCCATAGCCAGCCCAAGCCGGAAACTAACCACTAGAAAACTGGAAATGGCGCCTTGAGCTGAAGAGTGCAAGGAAAGCACCCAGGCCCCGAATTCAAGCCCCATGACTGACAAAAAAAAAGACAAATACGAGTAGAATCTTCACACATAGCAACAATTGCTAAGGCACATTTGGAAGACTATATAGTTACGAAAACTTAGTTTTCCAATAAAAGTTGAAAATCAACCAAATAACAGCAACAATAAAAAATCTAAAAAAAATAAAACCAATCCCTTCACTCTAAATGGTAATAACAAACCATTTTTGTTTTATTTGAAACTATTTTATTTTGTTTTTCAACTGTGTCTAGACTCTAGCAAAAGTAGGGAAAGGTAAAGTGTTACACCTTAGCTAGATGATGATAGAAGGAAAACAGGATTATTTAACTTTTACTTGACTTCCACCTTTCCTCTGAACAGAATAATTTTTATACCAGAAAGATGGAAAAATGATCAAAATAAAAACAGGGTGAGAAACTGTTCACCTTAAATGTCAATCTCAAAGCTAAATCAATTGCCTCTACAAAATAAGAATATATTTATGCAATTGTAATAGGATCAAATACAGAAACAGTGATGGTAAATTCTGCCTGAGACATAGTTAAATATCCCTGATAAGCTGCAAAAATGTGTAAAAATTTATCATAGGACTAATTAGACATAAGTACACAGAAGTTACCATTAGTTCTTTTTCCTTAAAATAAAAACCAAAACCTGTTCAAACAAAACTTGTTTTATTTTCACCTAATACTTAATACTGTACTTTTTCAAGAGTACCAAAAACCTAATAGATTCATATTTTTCATTATTTAACTTTCTGTAAAGCACTGATTCATTGTTCAATGTATAGTCTTTTTAAAATAATAGGAAATAGGGGAAGGGAAAAAATAAATCCTTTAAATAGGGATACAGGTGGACCCATTGCAACAATGAGATGTACAACTCGTTATGTAGAAAACGAACTTTACAACTTTGGTGGGGGGGCGGGAGGAGTGTTGGGTAGGGGGGGCGAAGGGAGGATGGGAAGGGATGGGAAGAGGAAACAAAGGAGGAGGCTACAATGCTTGATAAGAAACGTACTCATTATCTTGCCCATGTAATTGTAACACCTCTGTACAGTATTTTCACAATTTAAAAAAAAACAGGAAATTCCTCAAGAGTGAAAAAAAGCTTTTTCTGTTCTGTAATGCTAATTTACATTTCAAATCTTAGTTTACTTGGTTAAAATTGTTAAACAATAATTTAAAAAAGTAACTATACAGCTAATTATGCTCCTCTTATCTAGTGATTTTTAAATATTTGTTTTTCTTTTATTATTAAGAAAAGTTTTCAAGGGATATATTATATAATTTATATAAATATTAATTTATTAGATATGTAAATATTTTAGACTAATGACTTGTAAATAAATTTTTAAAAATGAAGTAAAAAAACATATTTAAGGATGTAATTATGGAACTCTACTGGCAAATTTTATAAAAGAACCAGAAAATGGCAACGGTACAAAAAACCTAAGTACAGGCAGGGCTTGGTAGGGGATACAGGCAATCCCAGCTGCTGGCAAGGTGATAACTGGGAAGATAGTGATTCTAGGCCAGCCAGCATATAAAGTTAGTGAGATCCCATCTTAACAAATAAGCCAGGTAGGATGTTTCACACCTATAATCCTAGCTATACAGGATTTAGTGAAGTGTCTCTAGTTGTCTATGTGAGTAGGTAGACAAAATGATAGTCAGAGGATGATACAGTGAAGAAAACTAGTATTTGCCTGAATAACTTCACTGAAGAAATTGTTCTAAGGAAAGACCTATTAGCTTACTACATCATATAAAGCTCTTTTTGGTCTATTCTTTTTCTTGTTATTGTTTGATAGCTGGTGTTTGATCTCAGGGCTTTGCCAAACATGCTCTTTACCACTACACTCCATCCCTGCATACCCCAACTATTTTGCTCTGTTCTCAATATATTTATCCACAATAGGAAGAAAATGCTTTATTACTTGAAACAAATGGGCCACAATTTATTGTGGTTATTATAAAGGTATTAACTAGTTATGAAGTTATTAACTAATTTACTTTTGTATGGACTTTAGTATGGGTCATGCTTAACCCGCAATGATTCATACTCTGTCTATTGTAATGTCTTCCTTTCCTAATAAACTTGGCTGTTACTTTCACTATATTAGCGGCTACCTAAATTCTTCTTGTGGCAGATACAAGCATACAGGTAGATTAGCTGCTCCAACAGCTACCAGGCTTTTGCATTGAAATGTAGACTGTGGGTTTTGGTTTTGTTTTTTTTTTTTTTTTTGGTCTATTGTGGGGCTTGAACTCTGGTCCCTCAGCTCTTCAGCTCAAGGTGAGTGCTCTATCACTCTAACACAGTGCCACTTCTGGTTTTCTGAGTGGTTTATTGGAGATAAAGCCTCACAGCTTTCTTGACCAGGCTGGCTTTGAACTCTGATCCTCAGATCTCAGCCTCCTTAGTAGCTAGGATTACAGGATGAGCCACCAGTGCCTGGCAGAAATGGAGAATGTGTTTATGTGAAAGTAAAACTTTTCCAGCTAGTCCTACAGTCTTGCAAACATCAGGCACCACTATGAAGTCACTTGGTGACCATCTTGAAATTCAGGAAGGACAGTACCGCTTTGAGGCATCTTTGACTTACTGTAACAAGGACTCCCTAAGCAATTCTGAGGAAACATACTGTCAGACCAGCAGATACCACCTCTAAACCTACCTGGGCCTTGTTAACTGTGTTAACTGTGCATATCTTTCTCACTCTAATCATCCCAATTAAACCTAAGGCAAATAAATGTCTGAACCACTCAAGACAAATGAAGATATACTGAAGTGCTGTCTCCCTGAGTTTGCAATTTAATAAATAAACAAATACATATGTATATGCAGAATTATACAACAGTTCACAACAAATTTTCACTCCTAGGGAACCTGGAGTAGAAATCTCTTTTAGAGATTGTAAGGACTTGACTTATCTAATATAAACTTTAGGAACTGGTTTTATTATATGATCTCATCACAAATAATATGTACAACGGTGGCCAAATAGTGCTAAATAATCTGCCTTCATTGTATTTTAACTTTTAACATCTTAACTGAAGGAAGCACTGGTATTTGACATTTGGCTAAATTGTTAGCACTAAGAACTCTGAAGAAATTCTACATTTACCACTAACACCACCACACTTACATAGTGTTGACTAGTGTCAGGCAGTGTTCTAAAGTCATTAGAAGAGAAAAAATATTCTCTAATTCTCTAATGTTATTATTATACACATTTTACAGATGAGAAAACAGAAGCTCAAATAGGCTAAGTAACTTGTCCACAGTCACTCAGCTAGAAAGAGGTGAAGTGAAAGGCAACCAGGCAGATTAGATTAGAGCACGCCTTCTTAACCACAACTGCACTATAGTGCCAGGAAGGAGCATCTGAACAACTGCAAGCCAAAATAAGCTTTATTAATCTTCAAGATTTTGTGTTTTTTTCCTTCAGGCAAAGCTTATTACCTTTTAATTTCATTAAAGAGCCTTTGGAATTAAAAAACTGTTGTAACACATATCATAAGTGAATACTGATATACACAAGAGGATAAGTAATGGAGGTGTTATTTGGAATTTAAAAAGTAAGCAGGATACTATGAAAAATGGATAGAAATAATTGTTTTACTTCTCAAATAGCTTCTTAAACCCAAGACATTGTTCTTTTTTAGATAAACAGATCATACTGTTAATGTTTCTTGCAAGTAATCTACATACAGCCCACAGATATTTAGTTGTTTAGGTGACTAGACAAAAAAAAAAAAAGGAAGAGCAGAATCGGAAGTTAGAAATTATTGCCTGAAATCGTTTAGATAGGGATACAGGTCATTGGGGAGCTCTATGTGGAGTCTTTTGAGATGCCCCTCAGTAGATGAATGGATCAAGAAAATGTGGTATATATACACAATGGAATTCTATGCCTCCATCAGAAAGAATGACATTGCCC